CAGTTGGATAACCAACTAGTATGGCTCCAATGGAAAAAAATAGAGGGTCTGATTTGCCGCAGTCCCTTGTGGTTCCAAGCTGTGTGTCCAAAATCACATCTTTGCTGACAGTGATATTTGTGCCAGTCGCTGGTCCCACGCATGCAGTGTTCATGTGTGTGGCACTGGCTCCTGAATGGCCCAATATCTGCGGTAGAGGCAGTGCCTTGGTGCACACCTCCAGTCTTGGTGCCACCAGGAGGAAAATTGCTTCTTGCCAGTACGTGCTGCACAAGTCCAAATATAGATGCAAATCTGCATCCAAAACCATTGCTCCATGTCACTAATTCACTAACATATTTTCCTTAGGATAGCTGAGCATTTTCGAAATCGGTTCTGGAGACAAAACATCTGCAAAACTTGAGCTGTCCATGAAGGGCTTGGCGCAGGTAATACCAGAGCAGAAAGGCACATAATTCATTGTGTCTGTGTTCACAGCTGAGGAATTTGGGGGTTTCCCACACCAGATTGTGGTTATGATTTTGAGGAGCTGTCTCAAGTTGAAGCCAGAGCAAAAGAGGTTCAAAGCAAATCCCTGAGATGAACAGGGGCGGTCAGTGCTACCAGGTGCTGGTCGGCTTCGGGTATGAAAAAGAACTTAAATTGGAAATTGCTTGTCATTGGCAAGCTGAGATTTAAATTGTCCCTGCTACTGAAGGAGTGAAAAGCGGGCTACTTCTGTGCTGAAGGTGTCTCCAAGAGGATCCAGCAGAATTATAGATGAGTTAGGTCTGATGTTTTGTGCTGCAGATTGCTTGAGTTATCAGAAGTTAGTAGACACACATAGAACACAGTGTTTCAGAGAAGAGTTGACGTGACTTTAGCAGAGGAAACTTGTGTCTTGAACACATAATATAGTTTTCTGAAGAAAGTGGGTGCATAAAAGGGAGCCAGGCGCTGTGGAATAAGAGGAAAGTTTATCTTCTGAATGAGTAAGTGGTTATAGATAGGAAAGAAAAGATACACATAACTGGGCAGTTTTCACAGTGAAGGGAGCTTTCCAATTACCTGTCTTGGGAACCTGTGCTGTTCAATATACTCATAAAAGAGCTGGAAAAGGGAGACAGACAATAGTGACGTGCCAGAATCTGCTGATGGTGTAGAGTTATTCCAGGTAAGCAAAAGTAGACATGACTACAAAAAGTTGCAGAAGAATCTGACAATACCAAATGTCTGGGCAATGAAATAGCCTCTGAAATTCCATGTCGATAAAAGTCAAGTGCATACACAATGATAGGGTTTAAATTAGCCCGCGAAAGAGGCCCTGGCGTCATTGCAGATGGCTCTTTGAAAACGTCTGCTCAGTGCTCAGCAGAGGTCAGAAAGGCAAGTGGAATGCTAAGAATTTCTGGGAAAGAAATGGAGAATAAAAGAGAAAATGTAACTGAATAAATCCGTGGTGATCTTGAATAGAGTACAATTCCAGTCAACCCCATCTCAATGCGGCAGTAAAATAGACCTAGAAAAGATGCAGAAAAGGGTGAGAAGGCTGACGGGAGTTATGAAGTGGGGAGTGGAAGCCTGTGAAGTTTTCTGAAGAAATGAATGAGCAGGATTAAGGCAGAGGTGTAAAATCAAGGTCACTATGGAGAGAGTGAATAAGTAATTATTTTTTTGCAGCAGAGAATGTAATGACATGGTCAGGCAAGAAGTTTAAAGCAAACAACAGGAAAAAAACTTTCACAGGCTATAATAAATTAGGCATTAGGAAACAAAATCATTTACATGCTGGAAGTACTGGTTGTTTAAAAATGTAGTAGTGCTGAGGTTCCCAGCGCTGGCTCCAACGTGTTCCTCCAGCTCTTACCCCGATGTACCGAGCTGGCCATGTCCCCTCTGTCCCCTACAGCTGGGTGACATTGGGGTTCTGGTTTGGTTTGGCCACTCTCCAGTAGAACTTTCCAGGTTTTCTGAGCTGGATTATAATCAGTTAAAGGATCTTTTTGATCTTATAGTGTCATCTCTCCCATGACAAAAGCCACCAAAGTCCCTTGAATGAATGAATGAATTAATTCTCTTTGAATTACAGCAAAGTATTTGGGGAAAAGAGGTCCAATAGTACCTTAAAACTTTCCTGAAGTGAGTAAAATGTCCCAAGGGTTAATTACACTCAATTAATTGGTCCTCCCCATTTCTGTATGCAAAAGCTGCAGTAGCCCTTTTGGCTGCAGCACGGTAATGGGAGGTCACGTTGGATGGCTCAGGAATTTTGAGACAGTGAGGACTAAAAAGTCTGCTAGAACAGGATTATCATCAAATTATATGTGCCTTGGCAGCAGGAAATCAATCAAGAGTGGGCTGATTTACACCTGCCGGAGCCAGCACATCATGAACATCATCATCTTTCCCAGTGATGTTTTTATCTTTGCACTGACACAGTCAGTGCGAGGAAAATATTTTCCTGTTTAAAATCAAAACATTCAAGGTAGTGTTTGGCAGAGTGTCGGAGCCTGGGGTTCCTGCTGCTTCTGACAACAGTGCTGGTATCTTTTGCTAATGACCAAAGTGCAGTATAATGAGTTGTCTTGGGCTTCTGCTTTATTCAGTTTGCAGTGTTTTAATGGACTGTTAGTAATTCTGAAAGGGATAAATGATGTTTATGCCCTCTTGTGGTATGTTATTGAACAGAATGGATTTTCTAACTGACAAAATTAGGCCAATGATGGAAAAGTCCCAGGTAAAAATCTGTAACAAATACTGTTTTGCACAGTAGAAAAATATCTATCCCTCCAGCAGCATCCTCATGACTCAGTGAAGGGGAGGGGAAGCCAATTTTACATGCATTTACAGCAGCAAGTAAATGACTAATGCCCATGATGACAGTTTGTGCCATCTTTCTGGAGTGAAGATAATTTTAAAAGTGCTTTTCTTTGCTAGGAAGGTTAGAAAGTAAGTGAAATACTGCTTTCCAAAAAGCAGTTGTGTTGACACCTCTTTGTGTCAGTTGTAACCAACGTGTTGTGATACATACCTTCACATTTTTTATTTTCTTTGCTCACACATTAGACAGGTAAATAATCTGGTTCCCTTGGAACAAAGCCTGTCCCAAAGATGAATAACAGTCTTTGGTCATTTGACATGGGGAAATAAGGCCAGAAGGTGAAACTGGGCTTGTTACCCTGCCGTGTTCAAATACAATGGAGTAACTAGTTGACATCTTCCTAACCTGCGCTGAGAATTTAGACGTAGGGTTGGGAACTAAGGGGCTCCCCAGGCAGGTCAGTCACAGATTTTGTATAAATTTTATTACTTCATTCCTGATTAAAAAGTGAATACAACAGAAGTTATTCTTCAAACAGTGAAATTACCAGAATAAATCAGACTAGTGCTCTGCAGTTTCCAGCAACTGATGTCACACTGTGGCCAGTACTTAGCTGTTCTGAGGCAGGATCTAGGAAACACTGCTATAGGAAATTTGAAGACCTTTTGGTCCCAAATAATCACCTAATATTTAAGTGTTAGCTAGTGCTGTGAGGAAGCATTATTTCCATTACATGTCATCTTTCTCTCTGACCAGCCAACAAGTATGTAGAAGACTATTGTAAAGAGGAAGGGAGTGATTTCCTTTCCACGTCCATGATGAGTACAACCACAGTAGTAGGTTTAAATGAAAGTAGTGGGCTCAACGGGGTTAGGCTTTAGGAGAAACTCTCTTAACAGGATGGTAAATATTGGAATGGCCTCCTTGAGGAAACTGGAGGATCTCCACCTCTGATGATCTTTCAGAAACAGTTAAACAAATGTTTTTTCTGGGAGCAAGGCAGCTGGCGTTCATTGTATCATGGTGAAAGAAGTTAGACTTGATGACTTACAACAGGTCTACCAGCTCCATTTTTGTGTTTCTGTGCAATGAGTTCCTTTTACTGGATTTATTTATTAGTATGATGAGAGAACATGTGTTTATCTGGTAATCTTAAATGCTGACCCTTTGTTCTTATAGTTTATCTTACTGTCAGGTCTGGCTGATGGCAATGCAATTCGTTCTATGTCCAGAACTTTACAACAACTATATTTTGCAACAGTTGTCTGACACCAATTAAAGTCCTTGTTACGTTATCATGGACTTCAGTGAGCATAAGTTATGTCCCCACTGAGATAAGAATTGGCTCCAACATGTTGGTGCTTACCGGTTTCCTTAGAAAATGAAAATTCAGTAGTTAAAATGTTATGGCAATTCATGTTAAAAAGAAATTCCCTCTGCCAAAAACCTTCCAGGAGTTTCAAATTCAGTTAAAGGATATCAGAAAGAAATTAAAGTCTAATTTGAAATCCCCACCCACATTCCTTCTTCTTTTCCTGCAAAGTGATTATTGCTCCTGGTCCACGTATTGGCAAATCTTCCAGAAATGAGCCATAATTTGTCTTAAAAATACCTTTCTGGTCATAATGGAACTGTTCTTTTTGAAGAATGGGTTTGCAGTGACTCTGTAAAAGAGCCCAAATGCTCCTATTTCTCAATGACATCAGCAGGGCTAAGATTTCACCTAGAAATTCTTCTTGGCGTAAGGATATTTGAGATGGATAGCACATTTCAAAGCTGAGTCACCTGCCAGGTGAAGTTGTTGGACAGGCAGTTCTTGCACGGCAGCTGGCCAGGCTTCATCAAAGCATGCTCTGCTGCCTTTCGCTTTTGTTTTCCACTTTCGTGGACGGCACCACATCCCTGCCTGGTGTGGTTAATAAAGAGGAGAGAATGTATGTGTGGCCATAGCAAATTAAGCAAATGAGTCATTGAAACAGGAGGGTGCACTACTTCTTCTCACCAAGGCCTGCTTTGGTGCCTGCAATGTCTCCTAGCTAAACAACCTGGGAGCAAGGATAAAGGGCTTTCAAGAGCGTGCTGCAAATGTGGTCCAAGTGCTGAGAGATGTCTGTGGCTCCTGCTGAGAGAAAACCTAACATCATTCATCAGCAGAGAGGCCAGCAAACCACTAATGGCTTTCCATCATGTTTCTTGACAGGTATTGACGAAGGGTGGTTTTGGTCCCATCACGACAGAAATCCAGGAGGCTCCAGAGTTTTATTACGCCGAAGATTACCATCAGCAGTACCTCAGCAAGAACCCCGGTGGATACTGCGGCCTTGGGGGAACTGGGCTTTCCTGCCCGATTGGGATCAAGAAATAACCTTATTCCACTGCTTCCACTTCATTTTGGGGAGTTTGAAAAAAGAACAACCACCCTGATAGGTGTTAGAGTGTGCCTGTGGCATTGCTGCATAAAGATTTGGGAACCTCTTGGGGTGGCTTTCCGTAATCTGTGCAGTTTCCCGATCACCAACATTCAAAGCTGAAGTAGAAGCAGAAATTGTGCCTGTGGGCAAATGCAGCTTCTTGCTCTGTGCAGCTCATGGGGTTTCCTTGCTATCTTATAATCTGGAGAGGAAATACATTTCTAAAGGCTTGGCTAGAAATGCTGTTAAAAGGATGAATTAGGAGGTGGTTGCACCTGCTAACTGCTTTGCATAGCTAATGCCTTCAGACATGTTTATTTTCTTGGGTTAATGAATTTTCTTGTGTTGTGAGATCTTTGACTTCTGGAGACATGATTGGGCTCATTTTAACTATCACAACCCTATAATTTGATATCTTTGAGAATGGTGAATTGGTAAGATCAGTAACTCTCTCACAATTCCACTTTCACAGCAACATGTAATATCACCTATAGTGTCTATTTTCTGAAACAATTTCAGTAAGAAAAATTCAAAATTCTAATGTGATACTTTTTTTTTGACAGTTCCATAAAAGTGTATAAACACAAAAAGAAATCAATTTTGATACCTGCACTACAATAAATTGCAAAAAAAGAAAAATGTTGTCTGCAACGTGTTCTACGGCTCTGAGTATATATCTGGGTAGATCTAAAAAAAGTATCAAATATTAAAAGAGGCTGCAGCCTGCTAATTAAACACCAGGGCTTTTAAATCTGTATTACTGTGCATGACAGTACAGAGGAGTAGAATTCGTATTGGCTGCACTGTAACATAATTATTCCTATGATTAATTATTTGTACTTCAGTAGCTTGTGGAGCCCCCACGAAAACCAGAACTCATTAGGGCAGGTGCTGCACAAACGTAATGTGGGTCTCTGCCCCAGTGCATGTGCAGTCAAGATAGCAGGACAGCCAGAAAGAAGCAAAATAAGTTTTCCTTTTATTGATGGAGTTCTCAGAGTGGAGACTAAAACTACAGCCAAAGGACAGAGCGGATGCAGGGGTCATCCTCTATGGATATGGGATCTTATGGGTTATAGATAGTCTCTGGAGTATCCTAGGACAAACAGCTTCAGGAGGAGAGATGGGACTGGGTTTATGCCACCCATCCAACTTGCTGCTTGGAATACTTCCCAGGGTGATGGGAGGTGTGGGCTTGAGCCTCTCAAGATTTGAGAGGCTGTCTTAATCAGTAAGTTTGAAGAACGTGTGTCGTTGGTGTGTCCTCTTGCAGATGTGCTTTCTTCAGGGAAAGCTTGTAGGAGCCCACCTCGATGTGTCAGTTCTGGGCAGCAGAGCACATAAAGCCATTTCTGAGCACCAGGTAGTGGGGACCCAGAGACACACATCCACAGCCTTTGGGTAGCTCTCCATGGCATTCCTCCCCATATCTCGGTTTGATGTTTCCTGCTCAGGTTTTAGGCTGAGAATGGCCCAAAACAGCTCCCTGAACAATCTCCTGGAACTACCCAGCAGACCATACCTTGTTCGAAGCTTGGAGTGACTGAAAATGCGCATCATGTAGTCAGTCTTTGGGCTTGTAAATCCTCTTTTTTATCCAAAGACAGGCAGTAAATCCATGTCAGAGAAATTAGCTCCCCATCTTCCCCTGTTGCTCAGCTGATGCTGAGTTCATTCCAGCCTCAAAAGCCAGAGGAAAGCTGTCTTTTTAACAAATTTATACCCTGGGCAAGCTTGAGAGGAGCTACCTCTGGCAGGGTTGCCATGTTAGGCTCTTTCTGCAGGTGCCCCAAATTGTGCCCACATCGCGCTCAGGATTTCCAGCTGCTGTGGTGATTGATCTCCTGTCCTTAGCATGTTGTGCCACTGAATTGTTCTAGTCCTCACTGTCAAGGAAACCAGCACTTTTGTCTAATTTCCTAGGCACAAGGTGACATAAAAGCAAAGAAGAGCGGAAAATAAAGTTCTTACTTTCAACCTGTGTTTTTTTTAACCTCTGCGTAATTCAGACTTTAGTGGGATAACTCCTAATTTGCTCTAGGTACGAGGCAGAACATTCATATGCTGAATCATTCAGCTGCTCATAAAATGTTGCCTGGTTCCCTTCTGTCCTTTCCCCTCCCTCCCCTCCTACTCCACGCTATAGTTACTGTTTTGAAAAAAGCTGGAAAATCTTTGGAAACAGCACCATCCTTAATATAGCCAGGCTCACGTCTGAACCTGACTGAGTTTTTCTGAGTCCCTGTCCTTATGGAAATAAGTTTTGGTTTAGAAATCATCATAGATGGGTCCAGTGATGCTAAAATTGGCCCATACCAAAAAATTATGCCTCCACAGAATTAATTATGGAGTTACTGTAGGGCGGAGTTTTGTCCTTGAGCCCTTGCAGTTGCTGCTGAAGGTACAAAGAGTATCAGAGATATAATCAGTAAAGGTGAAATGCTAATGTTTCAGCCTCATGGATTAGTTTCTGAAGCTCAATTTGGTCTTGTAAGCCACCCTGGCCCACAGGGAAGAAGGGAGTGGCTGCCTCAGCATCGCTGATACTATACTTTTGATTTGGCTCTGTTTGAAATTTACCCTACCACAGAGCTGCCTCTTTCTTCTGAGAACACAGACGTTGTCTAAATGAAGAAGAGAAAATTAATTCAGAGTTCGATAGGCTTCAGCACTTCTCAGCGTTGAAGATGAAGGCTGATGCAGGGCCAGCACCTAAGGTCTTTGGATATGGCTCAAGATCCAAAAAGGGCTACAGCACCCAACTCATGAATCCCACTGTTGCAATACCCTGTGAAAGTCAGCCCAGGCTACAGACAGGAGTTTCACTGCTGCCCTACCCCTATCATAGCAAATCCCAAGCCTCCTGGAAATCATGGAGCTTTCCCTCATGGCCTTAGGAGGGACACCAGCCGACAGTGATGCCAACAGAAACAGGAGAATTGTGTGATGTCACATCCTGGTTGCCCTGGCAGAGAGATGTGTTGCCTTTGGCGAGAACATGGCGTGGGGAAAAGGCATCTACAGAAGCATCACTGCCTTGAATGTTGTTGAAGACCGCTGCTCCAAGACTGGGATTGAAACGCTGCTCCTCATCCTCTTTTGTTTAACTTCTCTGATCAGCGGCATTGATGCAGGTTTTCCTTCTCAGATTTTTATGCTCAAAAATGACCATCAGAGCCAAACTGCTAGTAGCCCTACAGGATATACACGTATCGGTAAATGAAATAGGCCTGGCCTTATTCCTTGTACGTATGGCTTGTACCACATCCTAATGCTGAGCTCTTCCACTCTCTAAACAGGGATTTTATCCGGCTTGCCTATGGGAAATGGCCTATGGCCCTGCTAACCCCTAAACTGCTTGGGCACTGCTTGGCAGAGTGCAGGGGGATTTGGTAGAGATCAAGTAGCCTGGATAATTATAGACCAGTGCTTTGGCTGATGTCCTGCCCCTCTAGTTGAGTAGCACAGGCAGCCGCACTGCTGTACCTGAGCAATGTGTCTCATTTTGTACCCAGATTGCGGCCTCCGACCATCTTACGAGTCCTTTCTGGAGACGGGCAAGAGGATCACAGCGGGGAGGTACGCCGAGGTTGGGGAGTTCCCGTGGCACGTGAGCATCCAGGGCAACGGGAGACATATCTGCGGAGGGACCATGATCAGCGCATTGTGGATTTTAACTGCGGCCCATTGCTTTGCAGAAGAAGTGTGAGTACCTGGGGGAAGGAGGGCCAGCCCAGGCACAATGGGATTGATAACGTTGCTCCTTGTGGGTGTAAGATGTGTCTGTCCTTGAGGTCTAGTGCAACATATATGTGACTGAGCCAGAAAGAGAGCCCTCGACATGAGAGGTGGCTCCCTTGGGGAAAATAGGCCCATTTTTGATCAGAGGTAATGCTACAACAGAAACGTGCAGAAATCTGTGTAACCAGGAGATGCAGAAGGGGACTATTTTGGAGGGTGGTCTGAGCAGCCTTGTATCAATGCTGTTTGGATGGTCCCAAGCATTTCCTATATATCTAAAAAGAGGTGTCTTCCTTTCCAGCTTATACTAACCCCCAAATTACCTTTACCTCATGTTTGCTGGATAAATCAACTCCATGCAATGCCCAGGGGCAGAGTCCAGCCCTCTGTGACCCCCCTCCAAAATTTGGCAGGTCCAAGAGCCGAGACTGCTCGATGACAAATGACCTGTGGCATCACAACCTGGAGCAGCTGGCTGGGGGCAACGTGATCCAGAGCAGCCAGCCCAGGGCACAGCGATCCCGAACATCCAGCCCACTCCATCTGTTCATTAGCAACTGGGCTATTTATAACTTGGTTGCATTCATGTTCTACCTCTACACCTCTCTCCCCTGAAAATTAGCTTTGCCTAGAAGTGAGGGTAGATTTCTGTGGTATTTATAGCTAACCTACCTCTGCAATTTGCTCAACACCACCCCACCCTGCTCAGAGGGAGGAGGCACCAGCCTCTATAACACAAAACCTTCATGTTTGCTTATGTCTACACCGCTTCTCTTTTCTTTATAAGGCCACCAGATCTCACTGTTGTAGTGGGGGGAATTGACCTCAACCTCCCGCTGGAAGAACATAAGCCGGACAGCTTGATCATCCATGAAAACTTTGACAGAATAAGCATGGAAAATGATATTGCTCTGATCCTGCTCAGCTCTCCCATTGAGTTCAGCAATCAGAAAATCCCCATCTGCTTGCCCTTCATAGATAACGTTGATACGTGGCAACACTGCTGGGTTTCTGGGTGGGGAACCCCACCCGCAGGTGAGATGCTGTTGGGAGATGGATTTGCTAACCAAGGCTGTTTTTTATCCATTTAAAGTAGATGTTGTCTCCCAGGAGGGGTTATGCACACTAACTTCCACTCCCTACCTCTGCAGTAAACACATCCAGGTCCTTGCAGCCTCTGCACATCCACCTGCATCACCTACTGACACCCAGAGCAAAGTCCCTGGTACTCTGAGCACGTATGTTCAACCTGAAACCTTAAAGCCACCTTTGCTCTGCAGGAACTCGACCTTACTTTGGATGCATTTTTTGCCATCCAAAATAAGACAAGGTCCACCCTGGTGGGCAAGTTAGGCTGGGTCTAAAGTGGTCTGGAATCAGGGAAATGAAGGTCTAGGGTTGTTTTCGGCTTAATGCCTCCATGAACTGGATTGATTCAATGGTACTGGTCACCCCTCTTCTTCACTCGTTTAGAAGATCGTATTGTTATTGTTAATTGCTCTTGTTTAAGCCCTAATGAAAGTAGCTCCTGCACTGATTGTGACCCAAAATATCTATCCTGAACAAATGTCATTAAGTGGCTAATGAGCAATTTCATTATTGCGAAGAGATAATCAGAACGGAGTGGGCAGGGTGGTGCCTTGTAGTAAGTGAATGTCCCATCTAATCCTTGCTCTTCTGCTCTGTAGAATTACTGTCTCCTCTCTGAAACTCTGCATTTTATTTCTTAGGCTTCGTTTGCCTAATGTAACAGTAATACACCACACAACACAGTGTTATAGTTGTGAAATTCTCCCATTTCACCAAGGTAACATGCTCTTAGAAACAGAAAGACGGGGCTGCTGCAGAATCACTCTTCTGCTAGGCAGCATTTCTTTTTAGCTAGTCTCTTTGCAAAATGCATGGCTTGGCTCCGGAGATGGGTCTCATCCTACTGCGTGGGCTCAGCTGACATCACTTCTGCTATCCAAATTACACCCTGCAGAAGGTCAATGAACTCAGCCCTGGCACACAACCCTTCTGCCTGGGAAACGCTTCAGAAGAAAATCAGCAGAAGCTGAGTTTGGTGAGAGGGATGTGTGATGGTGTGGTACAGGTCATACCAAGAAGTATGAGGCATTGTTCCTTGGTGGGGGAAAATGAGCCATTTCTCCTCTCTACCAGCCATCAATCAACTGGCACCTCGGGCTGCACTAGCCTGCCTCTCCTTCAGCTGCGGTCAATTAGACCTCAACAGGTGGAGCCACCTCCTTGGAGATGCCTACATCAAAGCATTTTAATCTGTGGGCATTTCCGTGGAGCAGCCTCATCTCAGCTGAGAAAGGGACCTGACAACTTTCTATCTTTTAGATCTTACCTTTGAGTCCTATTTTCCAGAAGGTGCTAGGAGGATTTAGCTGAATGAAGTATGGGAGAAGGAGTGAGTTTCTGAAAACCTGTAGCTCCTTCCCGGCAGCAACATCCTCCAAAAGTCAGTTTTCTCCTTCAGAATCAGCTTTACTTTAAAGAGAAATGTGAGTGAATTGAGTAGGTTTTCCAAGTAGCTCTGCATATTTTGTCTTTTTGTCACCTGCTGGTGGCTGCTGCAATTTCTGTTTTCCCATCTCAAGGGAAGAATGAAGCAGTTATTTCCATTGGGTTCTGCCATCCTGAGAGCCACTTTGCGGAAGATACAGCTGGGTGTATCTGGGTGAGAGCCCACCTCACAGCCAGATACAGTCCTCACAGCCCACCAGGAGAACACGGGATAACAAGGTCATCTGTTCTGGGGAAAGCTCAGTAGACTTTCCTCTGCAGGGCTCATACAGGACCCCATGAATAGTCCCTCAGACTAAGTTCTCCAGAACTGTGAGTGAGAAACCCAAGGTGTGCAGTGCAGATCATCTCAGGTCATCACCTAGACCAGCAGGATAAGCCATTCTTTTGGGGGTCTTCCAGCTGTACTACATCCCAGAGTTCGTCTACAAAAATAAGTGACTTTTTAAAATCCTATTTAGCAAGCTTCCACTTCCCAGGATTTCAGCTTTGCCCACTAACACCTCTCCCCTTTCTCACTACCTATCCACCTCCTAGTCTGGCGTAAAGTCAAGAGCACAAACTTGTCTTTGCTAACACTTGGACAGCCCCTGCAAGCCCCCATGACCCAAAGACCATATGGATGTGACCTGAGACCCTCTTGCCCTCAGATACTTTCCAAATCCAGCTGAGAGCGGTCTCAAGGGCTACTCTCCGGGTGTAGTTTCACCCTTACGAGTCTGCGCTGCTCTTCAAGCTTTGTAAATCATTCTCTTCTCACTTTCTGGTTAGCAGCTGGGGTGCCATCATCCCCTGTGCTGCAGAAAGCACGGATGAAGCTCATCAGCAGGGAGCAGTGCTTGGAGCGGATCCCACATCTAGAGGATAACCTGTTCTGTGCTGAGCTGGAGAAAGGAGGAGGCGGCGCCTGCCAGGTAAACAGGCTCCCGGATGGCCACCCTGCCTATGGGGACACAGACACGTTGTAAGAGAATCTCCTTCCTTTCAGGAATTAACATCGATCCTTCCCACCACATCCTGGGGTTGCTAACAGGAGGCCAGGGAAGGATGCTCAGGGGCCAAGGAAGTGCCTGCAAAGGTGTATTGAGCCAGGCAGTGGGGGTGTGGGACTATTGGGGTCGGAAAGCAGTGGTGGTGCTGGAAGCAAAACACCTTATCGAGCAGACAGGCCTCTCCTCATGCTCTCCCCCTTGCTCTGATTCCCTCCCTGCAGCAAGAGAGACAGAAGCTCTGCAAGGGAAAATGCGACCTGAAAGGAGGGCAAGGGAAAAGGGTGGTTTCCAACAAGTCCCCTTGGATGAGAAACAGTTTTGGATGGCTCTGGGCACAGGATTTTGGACTGTTATAGCAATTTAAAAACCCAGTGTCTGCTGTGGTCAAGCTGTGCAGCGGTGGGAGCGATGGGAGGAGAGGTCTCTCGTCCCTGCAGAGAGGACTCAGCTCAGCATGGGCTGTGTCTTCCTCCTGCCCGGTGTCCCCTCAGCCCTGGGTGAGGCAACTCTGCTCTATCACCAGGTTAAATGCTGAAAAAAGGCAGGAATTTTTGTCTCGGAGGGTCAAAAGCAAAAGAATCAGGGAGGGAAATTTAATTCAGGAGTGTTTCATTTGGATAGTGGAAACCTTTTTCAGGTGAAGTCTTGGCTCTGATCCAAATGTCCTTTGCTGACATGGCAGGTTGGTCTGTGGGTGCCAGAGCTAGTCACATCTTGTTGCAATGAGTTAAATGATATAGGATGGTGGACTTTTCAAGCTAAATTATAAAGAGTTCAAGTGGTATTTGTTATCAGGGACTGCTAAGGGGAGGCAGCTGACACAAACACCCAAAGGTGGGAAAACCTCCCTCAAAAGTTGTGCCCTCAGAACTTACTCCACCCAGAGGATCACTGTCCTGATGTCAAACAAAGTCTGAAAGCCAAAAAACACCTTTTTTTTTTTCATAGAGTCCAACCTCCAACCCCTTCTCTGAGAGCCTGGTAAGGACTGGGCTCTCCTGCAACCTCTGCTTCAGGACTAAGGTCTCCATCCTCCACTGGCAAGGGTTTTCTTGCATGGGTTTGCAGGGACGCAGATGGTCAGACACATGTATGCACAGCTTCATCCTGTAGGAATCATTCTTCCAGGGAACTAAAACAACACTCAGGACAGAGAGGGGTCCCCTGGCCTTTAGGCAAAGGCATTGGGTACAAGGAAGGTGGTCTGCAAAGCCATTGTGATCTGGGCCTGGAGTTGGTCAGCAGAGGGGAAATTTGCTTTCCAAGATCATTTTTTTGATTAACCAGAGAGCATCTGTCTCTGAAACCATTAATCTAGTGGCTTTCACCTCCATTAAATGAAATCAAAAATCTTAAAAAGAAAACTGCCACAGGATAACATTAACATGATTAAAGAATGCACTTTCCAGCCCAGCCTTAAGTTCTGTGGCTGAATTATGCTGGTGAAACAGCAAGAGCACTTGTACCCAGCAGAATGAATCTCCTGTATTCAGAAAGCTGATGAGGGTGCTATTTTGATGTACAATAATGTTAGAGACTTCTGAGGAATGAACTAGAAATGTGAGCTTTCCAAGCAGTGGAAGTACACAATGACTGCATGTGTAATAATGCTCATAACCCAGCAACTGCCCACTTTTAGTGGAAGCTTGACCAGGCAGAAATGTCTTGCCAACTGAAATAATGAGAGCAAGACAAAACCATACCCTAGGTGAGTGGAGCTCTTTGGGAGAGAAACAGGTGACATGACTTTTTATCACAATTTGCTAATTTGCTGGAGGGGAAGCATTTTGCTGATGGATGGTTTTCTGGGAAGTGCTGATTGAAGTCTGGTACGGCACATTCTGGCCTTGCTAGTCTGATTCAGAAATCTAGTGGCTTGCATGTAGTAGGCTGCCTGGTAATGAACTGGGAGGTCAGGTCTGAATCTGATGCTTCTTCTGCAGTATGGACAGCTGGACACCCAATTCATCTGCCCTGGGCAGATAGTGAGGCACACTGTAGACAGTGCAATCTGTCAAGCTGTGCTTGTCTATAAAAATCATGGGGTTTGTGTCAAATGAGAATGAGGACAGATTTCAAAATACCTAAATCCTTTACAAAGTCAGCGTTGTCGAGAAGGTAGAGCAGCCCTGGGCACAGTTTTCGTCTACGCCAACCGGCTGTCTGCTGGATAATTTCCAGCCACAGCTCAAGCTTTTTCATGGGTTGGGAGCAACCAACAATGGAATCATCAAATCATAGAATGGTTTGGGTTGGAAGGGACATCTTCACCTACATCAGGTTGCTCAGAGCCTCATCCAACCTGGCCTTGAATATTTCCAGGGATGGGGCAGGATCACTTTGGATCCTGCCACTCCAGTTCAGAGGCCAGGAAGGAGCAGTAGCACAGACAAGACAGAGACCCCTGCTCAGGGAAGAAGCCCTGGAGATGCTGAGCTTGCTGGTGTAGATGTGGTGATGGTAAACCTGGAAACCGTGCATCACACAGATGCACGATCTGTCTGGACATGAAGTAGATAAAAGCTTTATGTTAACCTTTCCTGAGATTTGCTGACTATTAGGATACATTTTTTCATGTCCAGAACCAGGCTAAGATGGGCTACATCTAGACCAAAGGTTGTAAGATCCTCATCTGGATCCAAAGCATGACCATCCTAAGTCCTTGCACTGTGTGCCATTTATGTTTTGGATTTTCCCCATAGCAGCAATCTGTTTTATGAGTAAGTAAAGCCACACAGATATATTCACCAAGGCACCATGCAGAAGGTTTATCCTACTGACCACTGCCTTAATAGCTCCATGTGGCAACAGGACACGAATAGAGAGGCTTGGACATTTCACCAGCTGCCATCTTACTGGTACCAGACACGAGTAATTTGTGGATCGCTGACAATATTCCTATAATAACTCAAGGAGATTGAATAGCAGAGCTCTGGAGTGTTTGTTCTTAAAAAAAAAAAAAAAATCCGTTCACTTAAGAAGAAAAATCTATTATATACCAATTCCCTAGCAGTTCTGCAGACAAATATATAGATTGACTGTGAATTAACACTAACAGGATCTGTAATTGACTTATAGTTCTATTTAGTCATAAACATTAGCATTAATGGATGTTCATGGGGTACAAGAGCTAAAGAACAGACACTAGACATGGCCTATGTGTTATTTTTTGTGTGCTACATTTCTTCCATGACCCCATGAACCACAATTGATGTCTAATTCCTTGCTTTCTTAAGCATCTTTTGTCAGGCTCTGATGCAATGGTAACTTGAACAATAATTAGAGTATAAGGGACTCACAAAGCAAATGCCTCTTCAGTGTCTTGCCTATCCAGACAAAATTCAGTAAATGGCCCAATTATATTTCAGAGAGTTTCTGCAAAGGAGGTCTGTGGGGCTATCTCTGCGATGTGGTGATTAGGACAGAGTGTGTTCAGCTGGAAGTCACAGTTCACTTACAGTTCAGGTCGGCAGCGGATGAAGGGGGGGCCTGATCCCTGGCCTGACTTTCAGGGGAAGGAATCATTGAGTGGCCACAAACAAGCAGTGGGATGGTTCCAGCTCAGCTTCACCGTGCCCTACACCATCCCCTGGTGTTGGGCTGATTTGAGTCATGGACTGAAGCTATCTACCCCCTTCCACCGATTGTAGCTGGAGGTGATCCTGCCCCCTCTCTGATAAATGTCTGAAATGATGCTAGGATGCATCAAGGGCTCTAGGTTTTAATTTCTTTAATGCCATGAAAAAGGCACAGAAGGACCTCTTTCCTTCACCTGTAGGATGTTGTGCCCACATATACTGTCAGCAGTTTGGAAAGGGCAAATGCCCTTTAAAGCATTGGGGCTGCTCAGGGCTCTCGCCCCTCATAGCTATAGTGACAGAAGCTGTTGTTGTACCACCCTGGGTGGGATTTCTGTGGCCAGATACAAATGTTTTTTCTATAGCCATCCGCATCTACCAAATCATCTTTCCATCAACAGGGAATAAAAACCCCACTTCTGACATGTAATTCATTGAGACTGTTTTAATCATCTATTTTAAAATGAGATAAATCCCTGTACAAGCACTTATTTCTTCCCATTAACTAAAAGCATGTCCAAGGTGTCTAGCTCACAGGGAGACACATGGCTCCAAGGCAGGACAGTTGCCTACATTTAAGTCTCCAGTGTTATTTTAGATATCCCAGGATATCCCCCTGGCATCCCACCGCCCCACCACAAACCATGCCCAGTATGTGACTGAAATGGGAGCTTGATGCTTGCACTGGAAACACTGGGGAGAGATGATCAGTCTGGAGCTGAACTCACCCCTCACACCCTCACTTCACTTGTGCATAAGAATGCTAAGCCAGTACAGAAGTGACCGAAGTTCTTCCACCCTTTTACAAGCTCTTGCATCCTTTCCCTTGGAGCTAACATGGCTCCAAAAACTGGAAAGGAAGACTTGTGAAATAGAATATTTTAAAATTAATTTACAAATTAATATTGTGTCCGTATTTTAAAGAAAAAGCCTACAAATTAATATTGTGTCCATATAGGTCAATTATCGCAGATGCAAAGCAAAGATCACAAACCAGGGAAGTGTGGTCAATCCCCCAGGCTGTTCAAAATATCTGGATGGAGGTGGGCAGACAATGGTCTGATTGCAGTCTGCAGGGATGGACAGTATCTGTATGAGGTCTGAGGTTATAGGCCCTTCTGCCTACCAGACTCCTGGGGGCCAGGAGTCAAAGTTAAGCACATATAAGTCCAAAACTGTTGCTAACTATACAAAATTACTATCATAGCGTACCCTCATATTAAAGAGAGTGATCCATTCTCCATCCTTGTGGTGGATTCTCCATCACTGAACTATGGCTAACACGATGAGGTGGGGTCTTTTCCTTAAGGGACAGGCTGGTTTAAGTAGGAAGGTATCCTGGGA